CAGGATTTAAAACAAATGCAGCCTTGCAGGATTGCCAGCGAAAATCACTTGTTCCACGCTCTCACCGCAGGATGCAAAACATTATCGACTCAGTTACATAAATATATCTTACATACCCAACCAGATCCCAACGTGGGTACAAAATGATCTTCCCTGTTTTGCTTTTAAGTTTCTTTGTTTCATTTTCAGTATTAAGAGTCCAATTTGAAGTATACATACTGTTCTTAACAACAGCAATATCTGCAGCAGCAGCAGGCACAATTATAAAAATGTATTAAGAGAAGGGTGTTTCAGAGCCAAATTCCCTGCTTCTTAAAAATACCTGGTTGCTGGATCAAGATTTTATTGAATGTATCTCTTCTTAGTATTGAATCTGGGGACAGCACAGCCTATGAAAATAATGATAAAATATGGTTTACCCATTAATGGCATAAAGATTAATTGACCAGAAAGGAATTTCCTTTCTGGTAGGATGTGCAAAAAAGGAATTTCCTTTCTGGTTGCTAATTTATTCTGAAGTAAGAGCTGGCACTTCCAGGAGAGCTGAAGCCATGGGATGTTCTGTGCTGTTCCACAGACCTGATGTAAATAACCATAGCAGCACACGTCAGATGCCCCGCGGTTGCACAAGGAGTGGCACAGCCTTCTGCATCACACTCTGCTGCCCTCATTCTCCCAAAAACAGGAACATTTGCTCTCAAGCATCTGAAAATGGCATATTTCCACACAACAGGTTATGGCAGAGTACCCAAAGATACAAATGGGCTGTTCCAAAGCCATCAGCAGCCCGGCTGCAGCATTCAGGAACTCACTGTAACTGAAGTTATCCTTTTTGTTTCCAGACATTTCCTCTGAAAGCTCATAGAAAATCAAAGTGTCTCGGAGACATTTGCTTCAAAACAAACTGTCTCCTCACACAAAGATCAATATAGCATAAAGGAAGGAGTGAAATCTTGTTTATAGGTACCAAGGATTGAATACGTATTTCTGTCTTTGCTGTGTTTAAGGCACTCTTGCCAAGTTCTGCAAATCAGTTTCCTTCATTACTGGCTTGGGACTGAGCACTAATCATTGCAGGTTTTGTGCTTCTAGCTGGCAGAATCCTCTCTAGAAATTTTATTGTTCTAGTTCATACCTATTTCACCAAAATGTGAAAGCTTTTGAAAATAATTTAAAAAAAATATTCTATGTGATAGTTGGAGTACTGTTTTATTTGTATTTACTTTTGTTGCAGTTTGAAAGGCCAAATAACATTTGAGGTTTTCCATATTAACAAATTCAACATATTTGGCCTGGATAACAAGGAGCACAGAAGAAGACAACACTGATTATGGCCTGGCAGATGAAAATGCCTTGAGCTGCCTTCAGCTAGAATAGTAAATGGCTGAATAGCCCAAGGCTCTGTTAAACAAATGACCAGCAAAACCTGTCAGCGCAAGTAAGTGACTCTTATTTTCAAATAATTAAGTATAGCAAAATAAAAATCAGGACAGGTATGCAACATTGTTTTCTTAATATCTTCAAAAGACCCAGCTAAAAAGGATTGAAGAGAAGGAAGAAGAAACAATGTATACTCTTCAGAAACATTCAGAAGCAAAATAAAAACTTTGGGAAAAGAATAAAAGTGAGAGTGAAAAGTGATTTTTTTGTCCAAATGTCAGTCATGTGTTAAGAGAAAATATAATAACTGTGCAAACTTCAGTTTATTTTTAACTTCAAGTCTGTGAAGGGGGGAGAAGATCAAACTGTGAGATAGAACTGTTTGTTAGGAAAAAAGTTAACAATCAATCTGCAATAATAGTTTTCATGGGCTACAACTGAGAAACTGCTATCCCATTTGCAGCATGTTTTCAAAAAATCTCATTATATCCTTCAGACAGAAAGAAGTATTGAACTTAAAACCCAAGACTGAACTCTTGGAGCATATCAAAAAAAGAGCAGAAAGGGGAGTAGCATAAAAAGTGTTGGTTGGATGAACAGATAGACATCTTTCCTTTTGGTCCTTCATGTGTATCCTTCTATGTCAAGTACATTCTTTCAGACCAAATGGGATTTCAGTCTTTCTATCCACTACATAGTTCACCAGCTGCTGGTTTTTGTTTTAAGGGAGAGAAAACAAATGAGCAGACACAGAGCAGAATTATGAATTTTTATACACTGAGGGTAGTGGCCAGCTTAAGAGAAGTAATTCTGCATGAGAAAGATCTTGTATTGCTCTGTGCATCTTAATCCTCCAAAACTGTGCAACACAGGAAGAGATATGCAATCTCACTTCTTTAATGTTGAATTACCTGTCTGGATGGGGAAAAGCCACTTATTACAGCTCTTTGTGTGGAACCCATGAAATGTTTTTAAAAGAACCAATCAATACTTACTGAGGGCAACATATAATTTGTATCATAATATTAATAATAGAGAAAGAGGAGAAGGAAACTAGAAATTAAAAATAAAATAATTATTTTAAGTGGGCATTATTCCATTGAAAGCCTTTGATGATATTTCTAGACTCTGTGTTCATGTGTTATTAAAGTGTTTAAAACAGCTAGCAAAAAAAAAAGATGTTAAACTTCCTTTATTGCCCCACCAGCTTTTATAATGACTTTTTTTCTTGCCACTTATTTTTCACTGTTTATGCCCCTCAAGAGTGATGCCTCAAGGTCAAAGTAGTGCAAATTCATACTCACTTCACCAGCAGTTTTGTTCTTCCAAGCAGTTCAAAGTAAGCTCCAATTCTGTTTCCAATTTGTCTCTTGTGGGAAGGATGTTGAGTGTCATTTCTTTTTTCACTACTGTGATGTGAAATAGATATGTGCTGTCATGCTTCTGAGAGATTTGAGGAAAGGAAGCAACTGATTTTTAAACCAGACTTGTGCATTTATTACCCATCAACAGGAAAGTCACAGGGAAAAAAAAATGGGAAATTACAAGATATTTCTGTCCTTCAAAAACGCTGAAAATTCAGCACACTCATCACCAGAATTTTGTGGATTCGATCCATTTAGTTGGGGCTGTATGAATTTCTGATTTTTTAAAATCTAATAGCTACTTGGGGCAGATACTTATACTTAAATAAGCAGATGTTTTGCTTATTTTTGTGCAAAGGCAATTGTTTGGTTTGAGCTTTTTATGAATTTTTCTCAGGGCACTGTTCATTTATTAGATGTTTAAATGTTGGAACTATCAGCAGCCATATGCATAAGAGTGATGGGTACTTGTCTTTTTGCTTTTAACTCCCCTTATTTGTCAAGTACATCTTCTTTTTAGCATTTTTGCTCTTAAATGACCTCTGCCTGTCTTTCTCCAGGAGACAGCACAAACAGGATTTCCTAATAAATGGAAAATTATGTGAATATGGCCCAACAATTCATTCAGTCCAACAGGTAGGAAAATCATCATCCTCCAGGGTAATAAAAAGCTGCCTTTTGTGTTCTGTGTCACATAATGAAATGACTTCAAAAAAATCAGTGTCAAGAAGCAATCCCATGGGATTTTCATGAATACTGATTTGGATGTTCCTTTTTTTTTTTACTGATTACTTTTAACAGCACAGCCTTATGCTCCTTTAAATGTTTTGGACAGAATTTACTCTAAATCATGGCACCTAAAAAGCTGGAAAGGGGACTTCAGGGTATTGGTAGGCAGCAAGCTCAGCATGAGCCAGCAGCATGCCCTGGCAGCCAAAAAAGGCCTCCAACACCCTAAGCAGCATTAACAGGAGCACAGCCAGCACAGCCCTGCCTGAGAAAAAAAAAACAAAAAAAAAACAAACAACAACAACACAAAAACAAGCATTTATTACTATATCAGGGAAAGAGAAGGGTTGGCAATAACACAAGACAACATTCCACCAGCAATTTGCTTTCTCAAAAAGCCTGCTGGTTGTAAATGTTGTCATGTAAGGCTCACCCCATGCATCACGTCCTTCCTGGTGCTCTGCTTTGCTGTTTCACCTGGTGCAACCTCTGTAGCTGCTGGTGGCATTTTAGTTCAGGAGTTCAATAACAAGTCACTGCTGCATGGCCGTTCTCACACGTGTTCCTTACCAACTGAGCAATGAGAGGCGTTATGATACAAAAGGCAGTCATTGCTGCTGTTAGCATATACAGGCAGCAAAGCAGTTGAGAGTATTGGATCTTATTGATTTTTTTATTTACCTAGATCAGCTTGAATACAATGGGAAGAGAAGTTGGAATAGGTAGAAGGTGTAGCAATTGCAGTTTGTATGTCTGTTCTTCAAAACTATTATAACTTATTTCTCATAAATAGAGTATTACATAAACATAGTATGAACTGATAAAAGACAGAAAAGATTTATCCTAAGATGAGAGATTCAGACAGAAGTATCATCTTCCTCTGGCTTCCAGCACAGGCTTTTCCAGATAGGATGCATGACTGAGACACAAAAGGGGTCCAGAAATTTCTACACAGGCCAATGGTGAGCTCAAAAGCCATAGCCTAATCTCTTTAAGAGATGCTAAGATGCACCAGTAAGAGCTCCTACCTAAAAAATATTTTATAGCTCATGTTTATATAGCTTATAACTCCAATTCAATCAAAAAGCTCCAAGGACTGCACAGGGTTAAACTCTTCAACCCTTACTGGGAGTCATTTCTGGTCATCTGGCAAATTATGATGATAGCACAGAAAGCCCCTGCCTTTTTAATCAAGTGCAAAACTCAAAGCTCTTTGCAGACATAATTTTCTGGAAAGAAATAGAAGCACAGTCTGCAGTGATTGCCATTCAAATTAAAGGTGAAATAAGGCAGGAACTACTCTGGCCACTACAAAACAACCTGACAGCAAAGATATATGAAAATTGTCATAAATCTGGGCATGGCATTAAACACATATTTGTGATAAACACAGTGAAACAACTACAGTTTTCCATTTTAGAAGCACCAGTATAACTTCCTCTTTTCTGCACTGTCAGATTACAAAGTCCATCTTCTCAAACTATTACTTTGCAGTCTGGTTTTGGAGTTAAATCAGAATCTAGTGACAATCTCACCACAAAATTTTTTAAAGACCATTTTAGCAAAGGATGTTAAGTAAATGTTTAGCTTGAAAAAAATACTAGAAACCATCATTCTTTCCAAGAAGCTGTATATTGTAAATTGGTTTTAAGGAATATATTCTTGCAGACTGACTTCTGCCTCCTAAAGACAAGCACATATGGAATGATATCTTATATAAATACCAGATTTGTGTGCACAGATGCAGCCGTGTGCGTGTCTGCAAGCTCAGATCAGCCTTCAGTTTTCAAAAATTCAGCAGTGGAATGGGAGCACCTGATTGAACCTTTACTGTTTCTACCATGCAGGGTTTCATTTCAGAAAAGGTTTTTTCTAGGTCATTGTTGCCCAAACAGGTGTAGTGGTGACATAAGTGCCTCTTTGCTCAGGGACATTTCTTTCTTGGGAATCATTTCATGGATGCAATGTCTACTTTACCCACTTGAATTACTGGTACTGAGAAAGTGTGGAATGCAATACGATTTCTGGAACAACTCTCAGTGACCCAGAGCCCCTTGAAAGACTCCGAAAAGACTACCCCTAGCTGTAGTTTTATCCCAGTATACAAGGACAACTTCCAGTTCACACCACTATGTATCCTAGTGCATCTTGACCTCTTCCTTGTCACCTCAGCCCTTCAGATTGATATGATTCTATGGCTTGTCTATTCCCTTATAGGTGGAAGAAAGAAAGATTCCATGGCTTTCATCTGCCTGACAGGGCTGGTGATGAGGTAATGCCTGCACAGTCAAGTAAAGAAATTTCTTATTCTCCTATCTCCTACTTTCCTTTGCACAGATGACCAAGACAAATCCATTTCATTTGGCTTTCCAAAAAATAATTTTATAATAAAGCTTGGCCAGAAATACCATACTGTCATCTATTATTTTCCACATTCTTCCCGTTTTCCTTCACCCTTGCACTTCTACTTTTCAGTCTCCTAAATCCTAAACACCACACCGTAAAACAAAAGGAACTACAAATGTTCATTCACAAATGATCAAATTTTGGATTTCTAAGCTAAAAACAAGTGATGTCACTTAAATAAGAATAGAAAGTTGTATGACAACAGTTTCAGGCAAGTAAAGACATGGGAAATTAAGGAAATTCAGTGGACAGGGTTTGAACCTTGCAGCTGAATGAGCAGGATAAATTATAACAAGCTTTAGTGAAAGCAAGACTAAACACCAGCCTTCAACATAAAAAAATATTCTGAATGTTGTATATCAGCAATGCACAAAGTCACAGAACATTATCCAGGAGTTTAACTACAATGAAATTAGCTTTACAATCTCCAGAGCTTTACAAACAACATTATAATAAAAACAAAAAAACAGATAAGGTATTTCTGCCTGCATATAAACAATGTTATACTACTTCTTTCTTAATGTAGAAGTTATGATTTATTTGTAAAATAGAGATAGTATCCATATTCATAGAAGTGGAAACAGTGCTATGCATATTATGAGAGAGAATTTGTTTATTTAAATGGTGGATTAAAAAACCCCAATCAAAGCTTATGCATGTAAAACATAAATGCACATTGATAACTACTCAATACACCACATGCACCCAAAACATCTGAACCAAACAGAAGAGTCTTTGCTGGTCAACCCATCTATCTTTGTGGGAAGATATTATTTAGTACCAGATCCTGTTGATTCTCACTTTGATGGGAGTTCTTCAAAATGAAACATCATCATCATCAACCAGGAGAGTCTTCTAATGCCTGTTTTATGGCCCAAGTTTGTTGGTCTAAAAATTTACATAAAAGACAACACTTGTGACAAACTTTCATTTCCATTGAGGAAACCAAAGACTGTCAGACAGTTTATCTTTGCTCACACAATACTTTGCCTTCAAAAGCAATGTACAGATTGATTAAAACTTATACAAAACCCCCCTTAATTCCTGAGATATAGGTAATTACTCCAGAGCAGACCTGAAACTCACCAGTAGAACAGTGTACAAAAAAAACCCCCAAAATGTCATTACTTGATTTCAGTGTACTAATTAAATAGAGAATTCTGCTTTCCATAGCTGTTAGTCCAGTGCCTTTCAACAGAACATTCAGCTCAGGTCTTGTGGACAGAAATAGCTACCTTCACAAAATATGGTACTTAATTTCAGAAAAAAAAAGATTCAAATATGTAGAAAAAAATTAACTGTCCATTTCTATAATTATTACCACAGGCCTTCAACGACAATAAAACAAGATTATTGGCAGAAGCTTGACTCTAGCTTTGAATTACTTTTTTTAATAATAATCAGATAAAATTTCCAATTTTATCATCCTTTAATTTGAAATCTGATTTCTTAGCTGTGAGGTGACGTTTAAAATTTTGCCTTTCACCTAGCTCACTAATGTTCATAGGCTTAAAGTGTTTCAAAATAAAAGAATGATTGTCACTGGAAAATGAGGGTTTTTTGCATAGTCATTGTCCTTTTTATTTGCTAGACAATCTCATTGTGATATGATCACATCTTCTCTTCAAGCTTTTCAGGGACACAAGATCATGTTTGTAAATGCTTTCCATTTCAGTGTTGTAAAGCCAAGTCAAAGATACAGGGATAAAGAATATGTGGAAGCATAATAACACTCTCAAGGCACTAAACAACAGCAGGATAAGAGATCTTAGAATATTAACTGTTTTTCTTCAACCCAGCAGGAGTATTTTTTAAAGGAGCCATGTTCTAAAAACTTAGATCTTGAGCACTTTCCTGGCTGAATTTCGAGCCTTTTCTTTTTTCTTACTGAAGGCGCTTACAAAAAGAATATTTTCTAGAACACAAAAGAGAATTGAGGACTAAAACTGAGTAATTTGTTTTACCCTGCAGAAATCGTCCATTACTTTTCCAGAGAACCTGCTTAGTAGGAGGTTTTCACTTACCTCATTATATACAGGGAGAGGCATCCTTGTTCTGAATTTCATTTAAATCTGAAAACACCATTCATAAATTTCTAGCAAAACACCCTCTTGATCAAATCAGGGTCATAGTTAACATGACTTGTGGTTCCCAGTTATTTGCCTAAAATAAAAATTTTGAAATGATTACAGAAGGTTGTAGTTGAAAATACGTCCATAGAAGCCTGAAAAAAATAAAAAAGCAGAAAGTGAAGCTAATCAAAATTAAGTAGAGTAAGCAGGTTGCAGTCACATTGAGTCTTTCTGTTCTAGACTGAAAAATAAGTATTAATAGTAACATAGATATTGATGGAGACTTACAGGCAATTTCATTTTTTGTTTGCATAAAAATGGAGATTAGAACAAATCAAATAAAGGGAAGGGAAAATAGTCACAAAGGAAGGTTTACAGTTGCTGGTGATTTTCTGTAATAGGTTAAAGAAATCATTAGATGTGAAAATATTATGGTGAAAAGGACAGAGTTCAAGTGTAATGGAAAATAAAATGAATCTCCCAAGAACTTTGGAACACAAGCTCTGAAAAGTAGTGCTGCTTAAATGTTTCACCACTTGTTCTCATTCCCACTATTACAAAATCATATCTAAAAACGTCCTTTATAAGTTTAAGTCACTTAATGCTATTAATAAACTCCCTGTACTTTCTTTTATATACTTTGAAAAGCAACAGAAGGAAACAGCTTGCTAATGGAGAAAATAGTTTCATTATATTTTTAAGATTTTTTTTTTCATACACACACAAAAAAAACCTCTTATTCCTTTAAAAGTACTCGGTTTTAGAAAGAAAAAAAGTCATGAATTGAAATCTGACAAGCAAGAAATCATACACAGCTTTCAGGACCTAAGATGTTACCTGTCTGGGGGTGTACAGAGATCACCATGTTCCCTTTGAGGTGATCCACATCACAAAGCCTAGATAGAGTCTAAACTCTCACTGGAAGCCCCTGAGGAGCATTCATCCTGTTTGAGAAAATTTATGTGCAGCATGGGGTATTCTCCAAGAAAGAGGCTCCATTTGGGATAAAAATGAACTTATTTTTATAGCACAAGAGGGTGTAGGACGCACCACTTTGAGTAGTCAATAGATGCTGCAAATTTTGATTTTTCACCTGTAAGAGCCAACATATCATTATGATTTCCATTATTTCAGAGAAATTTGATTTTTCCACTATTTCCCACTTGCTCAGATGATAAATTATTGTTGCGGTTCCTTGTTTGTGCACCTCTTGGTGGCATCTCTGGGTGCCTCTGGCATCTATCTTCCCACAGTTGTCATTCACACAGTTTCCAGATGTACTTCTCAAACTTTCTCATTCACAAAGCTACTTCCAGGCCCCAACTTCCAAGATGAGAGGCCTCCCTCTGTCACTGTTTTTCAGGAGATGTTTTCCCCAGTAATTTTACCTATTTAACCAGGCCACCTTATTCCTGCTCACATCAACATGTTCTAGAGGGCTTAAGGGTTATCTTTGAAGCGTTTTCTGCTGTCATCACTACTTGTTGCCCTAGAAAGTTCTGATCACCTCAGATAATACACAAAGTCAAAGAGGACAGGAGGGAAAACAGAAAATACCTTAAATTCAAGGTGCACAGATTAAATAAAAGTCCTTTCCACATTGATTAAGCCGTTATTAGACACTTACAAATTTTTTTTTCCTTTCAGTAAAGACTTCATCCCTCAGCATTTGATACTAAATTTTCATAAATTTGGCAGTCCCACTAAACCAGAGACTGGCCTATCAGAAAAAAATGTGTGTCAGCAAGTTTGAAGAATGAAACTTTTTTCTTTCTATAATCATCTCAACGTTAGCAGATGCATGTTTGACAATTTGCAGACAGAACACAAGAGTAAGGAAATGGAGAAGCAATTGGTCTAACCATGCAGTCATTTACCCAAGCAAGCTATTTCCATTTAAATCAAAAAGCTTTGCTTACCTGAGCAAGTATTTCCCACCTACAGAAAAACTTGCAAAAATGGAACCAAAGTCATCCCAGTAAAGTATTACTTCTGAGCAAAGGGAAAACAGATGAATAATCTTTCAATGAGATAAGCAAAATTTTACCCAAATTTTATATTTGACAGTATATTAAATGTATCACAGAGCAATCCTCATGAGGAATCAACATTTGAAATAATCTCTAGGCAACAGAGCACTTTCTCCCTGCTGTAGTTATTGTAATGTCTGGTTTTTGAGTTGCAGTTTGTTTGTTTAGACAATTTAATTAAAGAGCTGAGTTTGAAACAAACTTTTCTCCATTGTGAATTCTGTCTAGGATACGATTCTATCCAGTTGTCTTGAAAAATCTACTTAGGAACATTGTAGGAATAAACATGTATATATATTTTCATGTATTTGTCTGAGCATATAGATGTTCACCTACTGAAGAGTCTCTAATGCTACATGAAAACCATTAGTGTTCAAACAGTGAGGTAAGGAGGAAGGTAATTGTGAATTTGGGCAAAAATGGTGTTTCTTTTTTAATAGAATTCCCACAATAAGAGCTAATTAAGAGCTAGCTTGAGACAAAAGGTACTAATAATGAAAATAAAGAACATTAGGAGTTTCAGGCATAGGAGCATTATGATATACTGGCATTGAGGGATGAAAGTGTATTCTTTTCACTGTCTTATTTTCAGGAGGTTCAGGAAACCTGAGGGCTGCTTCTGGCAATTCACCTGCATGCCCTTTTTCTCTTTTATCAGTTTCATTGTGTTTTACAGAATGTACAATGGCCTGTGGTGGCATAGGATCACCCACAGAGCCTGATTCTGAGTCTAGCAGTGCACAGAATACACATATGCAAGGCATCAATCTCAGGAGGGAGGAGGGACAGAAAACAACTTGTTCAGAATTAGAAGCAGAAAAGCAAATTGTGACATTGGCCCGCACTGGAGGGGGTATGAGATGGTATTTTCTTGTGGGAAAACACTCTGAGCCTTCCTGATTTCCATAGGAGTTCCCAGCTCTTTTTAGATGGTGTGCTTATGCCATCACACCCTGGGGTTTTAGTCAGCTCTTCCCCATATATCAAACCAACCATAACATCAAAGGCAAACCAGAACAAAGAACAGCCTGAAGTGGTGTCACACACACAGGTGGCAACAAATCCCTTTTTGCCTTCTTCATTCCTGTGGGTATTAATCAGGGCCAGGAACAATCTGTTGTTTCTCAGGTTCAGCTACACAAGTTTTTTTAATAAAAAACCCAAACCCTACCTACTTAGAAATGAACCACAGCAAACTAAGTCACCATGAACTTTTTACATCTGCTCAATACATAATAATGAAGCTCAGGCTCATGGAATTCCCTTATTTGCCAAGTCATTAGTTACATTGGCAAAAATGATTTCAGGGAAAGGCAGTGGTGTTGGACTCAAAATGATGTTTACTCTCTTGTTCTGTTACAGTGTTTTATCATTTTATTATTACCAATGTAAGTCCCTAAGCCTCAGATTTCTGATGTCAGAAAATACACATGGACAAATGGGATGGAGGAGCGCCTGTTGTACCTTGGGAAAAGTAGGGTCTTGCTTCCACTGCAGAACGAAAGCGTTGAGAGGAAAATTAGGTAAATATAAAATAGCATGGAACTTCATGTTAGAAAATTCAGGAGGTTAAAAAGTAAGCTGGCAAAAGATTGGTACCTTAAACTGCTGTGCCTTGCTTGTGAAAGTTCTTGACTTCACTAATGGTGCTTCCCACTCAGTCAATTCAGTAATTTGTCATTTTGTGGTATAAAAACTCATGCATTTTCACTCAGAACACCAAAAAGACACACACACACAAATTTTGATAAACAACCAACAGGTAAAAATGTAAAAAGCAAAGCACAGAACAAGGAAACCATGCAATTATTTGTAGCTGCTACTATCTTATTTAGAAAAATAGAGGTGGAATCCATCGAAAGACAGCTCTGAAGGGCAGAGGAGCCAAAAAATTTGCAGGTCTTTAAAGACAACCTCGTCCAAGTACAGGAATAGTCCATTCAAACTAGTAATATAAGTAGTAGGCATTGTGAGTTGTCATTTGATCTGTAAATTAGTTCTAACAAAATGTATCATAATCACCTCTGTATAATTAAACAATCTAATCAAGGGAATGACAAATATGGCAAAGAAAAATAAAACCTCTAAATCTAAAGAAAGAACAACTACTCCCATTCCACAAGGCAAGAAACATGGACTTTGGATAATGTTACACCCTGGTTCTTTTCTCCAGAATATTGCCCAAAGAAATAGAATTAAACTCTTAGAGCAGCAACTCTCCACCTTTTTTCCCCCAAGTTCACTCTCACTTCTGTGCTCTCCACCACCCCCATGCCCACATTTGAGTTTCCCCACTCCTCCTGTGCTGTTGCTGTGACCATGGGTGCTCCCCCAGCTGCTTGTCCTGTATCCCAGACCATGGAACATCCCACCACAGTGTTACACAACAGGCTTGGAGGTGAAATGTGTCTCCTCATCCCAGAGCTCCTCTTACACTCACCACTGTCTTCATAAGTTGCATCAAACAAGCTACTTCAATCTTCAACCTAACTGAAATTGGCTGTGTGCTCTTTCCAATCCAAACATGATGAAATAGCTCTGATTCTCTATACAATCTTCTAGACATGTTACCTTTTTTTTTCCAAATGGCTTCCAAGACCTTTGGGGTATTTGAGTTTTAATTAATTGACTTCTGGAGTAACTGGTTTAACACTGGCAGCTAAGAAAAATGTACTTTAGCACTGGACCCAAGAAAGTCCAGGAGTTTTAAAAGACCTTTTGATAATATATTCTTTAACGGATTTTGTCACATTATTTTGCTATAGGATCTTAAAAATGCAGACATGAATGGGCACAAAATAAAAACTTGTTATACGATGGTTATTACAGTATTGTTAATAAAACGACATTCTTATTTTTGAGTCTCAGAAAGAGAACTTTGCTCCTCCTGTATACTTTATATATAATAGAGGTTTAGATTAAATATATTTTCTATTTCTGTAGTTTCAGAATTAAAATGTCCATCTGAGGAAATTCAGTCTAAAGGAATTCATCAATCAAAACAAAAAACCACACAAGAAGTCATCCACAGCAGAACTGATACGCTGTTTGGAGCTGTTGT